TCGCCCTCCACCGCGGCGGCCCGCAGCGCCGTGCACTCCGCCGCCGCCGCGTCGCGCTCACTCGTCAGTTGCGCAACGGTGGCGTTCAGACGCTCTACCACCTCCGCGTGTTCGGTAATAGTAACTGTATTGGCACTTACCGCAGCAGAAGCAGCACCACTGTTGGTGATGCCAGGGGGCTGCGCCTTGGCGGCCGCCTCGAGGGTGGCAACTCGCGTCTTCAGCGCGGCTATGATCTCGCGGAGGGCGTCGATGATGCGCTGCTGCTCCATGATGGTCTGCAGCGAGAGATCGGCGCCACCGCCGGCTGGCGTCCCCCCATCGCTCATGGTGTTGCTACTGGCACCTTCCTACCACAACAAGAGCAGCAGCAGCAGCAGCAGAACCACAAGAAAGGGATTGAAGGGAATAAAGAGAGCGCGGGGTGTGCCTGGATGAGTGAGTGAGTGAAACCAAACTGAAGAAAGAGAACGGAGGGCGGTAGAAGAAGGCGTGCGGATGTGCATGTGGCATACTGTAATGCATGCCAGAGTGAAAGAGAGAGAGGGGGGGAGGGAGAGGGAGTGGAAGAGAAAAAAGAGAGGGAGGCGGTTGCAGGCACGCCCTCACTGGCACGTGGAGATAAGAAATGACATGCCTTCGAACGCGACACGNAAAAAAGAGAGGGAGGCGGTTGCAGGCACGCCCTCACTGGCACGTGGAGATAAGAAATGACATGCCTTCGAACGCGACACGCTCCACTGCGCCGCAGAAAGCCACAATGTCGATCTTGTCGTCAGGGCCGCAATTCTGCTCGAGCCGCTGCACGGCCTCTGGGTACTGCAGCTTCATCCGCAGCGTCGATTCCTGCGACCTGCCGGCCATATACTGGTTTGCAATGATGCCGATGGAGGGGAGCGTGCGGCAGCTGAGGTAGCGCACGCAGATGGCGAAGCTGAACTGTGTGGCGGCGTCCACGACGCAGTACGCGACGGAGCGGACGAGCGCGTCCTCACCGCCGCCGGCGCCATTGCCGTCCAGGTCGTTCGTCGCGATGTTGACGGCCAGCGGCTGGCCGAAGAACGCGGACATGGTAATCACCATCTCTAGAAAGTGCAGTGGCTCGCGCAGCGAAACCAGCAGCGCACGCTCAAGCGCGGGGACGTAGTCCATGAAGCTGGCGCCACGCTGCAGCGTCGCCGAGTACTGCGGCAGCCCGCGGAACGTGACGCAGCTGTGCACGAACGGCGTGTAGAGCGCTTCGCGGTGCGCGTCGGCCACCTCGACGTGCATTGCGATGCGCTCCGACAGCACCTCCACCGGCGCGTCGCGGTCGGAGGCGGCGCACGCGATGAGCAGCGATAGCTCCGCGCGCGAGAAGACCGGCACCGCGTCGATGCGATGCCGCACCGCCTTCGCGTACATCTCGATGGTTGTCGCCAGGCAGCGCCGCACACGCGCGTCTTCCTGCAGCAGCAGCGGTATCGCCAGCGTGATGTATACGCGGCCGCCGGACGGCTGCACAACGCCCTCTACGCGCCGCCCGTCGCTGCCGACGATGGTGCTGAGGTACGCGTCGTACTCGAAGCCCATCGTCTTGCTGTACACACGCAGCACATCCGGCAGCTGGCGCGTGCACCTCTCCGCGTAGCAGCGCTCAATCCAGCGCACGAGGGCCCGCACGCGCTTCGCAAGCGCGTCGCCGCTGCGGAAACGCGGCTTCGTCGCGGCGCGCAGCCACGAGTAGTCAACAATGCGGTCGCGCTCATTGGCAGCGGGCTCGCACACCACAAAGTCTAAGTCCACCGTGCCCTCCACTTCGAAGACGCACACGTCAAGGACGTGGCAGCCAAGCACGTTGACGGGGACGGCGGTGCTGCACATCAACGGCGCCTCACTTTTTCTTTGCTCGCTATTCTTGTTGTCCTTTTTTTTTTTTGCACTGCACATGGAGGGGGCGAGGGACGCAACAGCGGAGGGTTGGGGTGGAAGAAGATGCATACATGCAGACACACATACAAGCAGAGAGACCGATCGATCGATCGATAGATCGACAGATAGATAGATAGAAAGACAGCACACTGCCCACACACACACACACACTCCATTCTCTGCGGCTCCGTCACATTTATATCCCTCTATGAGCGCCGCACTCCTTCATTCACCTCATCCACACGAACACAAACACACATATACAGAGGGACGCTGCAGCAGCGCGGCTACAACACGCGAAGCAGGCCGGTCCGCGACAAGTCCATGACGCCCCAAATTCCACCATAGGAGGCGTTGTGGTAGGTGCGCACAATCGCGGCAAAGATGAGCAGCGCCTCAAAGAGCGAGTTGGAGCCCTGGTGTGTCGCGTACGTCTTGTCGATGGTCCCGTTACGGTAGCGCACGTAGAAGTACGGTTCCCCTGTGTCGCCGACAAAGAGGGCCAAGTCCTGCTGCGCGTTCATCGGCTGGTGCGGGAACTTCACGTAGTTGGCAAACCCTTCGACGCAGATGCGCACAATGTGAATCAACAGGTGTGCGTCGGTTGGCAAATCATCGCGCCAGAGGTCCGCATCGCCGCGGTTGTGCTTATACGACGCCAGAGTCTTCTGTGACGCGAAGGTACGGAGCCGCTTGATGATGTATTGTCGCCGCGCCTGCTGCTCCCCAACGGAGGGCGACGATGCGGGTGGGAATGTGCCGGAGGGGTCGAGTTTTGACTCGAGCAACAGTCGCTGGTCGAGGTGCGAGATAGTGTCGAAGTTCTGCACGTTCTGCGCCTGCCCCGCAAGCCTCTGCCGCTCATTCAAGAGAGCTTCCAGTTTACGCAGCGCCGTTGGCGCCGGCGCCGCAGGAGCAGCTGCAGATGCGGAGCCGAAGCCGAAACCAACCCCAGCAGTAGCAGCAGGGGCAGACTGTTGCGGCACAGGGATCACCTCCTGCAGTGTGTGCCTGCAGTCGAAGAAGCCGATCTGCTGCTCCGCGAACCAGCGGTCACAGGCGGCCATCTCCTCCGCGAGGTCGTGGCAGAGGTCAGAGAGCCATGTGCGCACCTTGAGCAGTGAGCGCTCCGCACTGAGGATGCCGAGGCTGTCCCACTCGGAGTCAACCGGCTGCGCTGCTGGCTGTTGCTCGCCGCCGCCGCGGTACTGCACGCGAATGCCGTCTGACGGCCTCACCGCCATTGCGGCGCCCACCAACGGGCCACCAAAAGCAGTAGGGACCGTAGTAGTAGCAGCAGCAGCGGTCGTTGCCGCCGAACGTGGTGCGGCGGTGGCGGCGGCTGTCGCTTCGTCACCCCTGCCGCCGCTGCCTCCCGCCAACTCCTTAGACTGCAAGAAACTGTTCAGCTCCGCCTCCGAGGAGATTGGTAGCTGCTGCCTCTGCCGCTCCTGCTGCTGATGCTGCCCACCCGCAGCGACGGTGAGTGGCGCCGCGATCTTTGGCATCCCACCGAAGAGAGTCGTTGCGGGAACAGCAATCGACGAAGAGGGCGCCGACCAGCCCTTCGCCCGCTGGCTATTGTTCGTTGCGACGCGAGGGCCGCGTGCCAGCGGCGACGGTTGGCGGGTGCCTTTCCGTACCGTCAAGAAGGCCAGCAGCAGCAGTGAGGCCGCGCAGATGCACCCAACGACGGCACAAACACGCTCCAGTACGTCATCCTCGGTGACCTCGACAAGCACGTCGTCAATCCACGCGTGTGTCACCTTCTTTGGGTAGACCCACGCCGCGAGACGCGCCACAGCGTAGACGAGCGCTGTAGAAGCGGCTAGGAATTTCAGGTGGAAGCGCTTCGCACCCCTACCGTACGCCTTCGCCCGCCGCTGCCGATCGAGCTCGATGAGATGATCGCCGTACGAGAGGCGCATCTATCTATCTAGTGGCGTGTGCCCTGTGTGGCTTCTACGGAAACGGAATGGGGGGAGGGAGAGAGAGAGAAAACGGGGGGAAGGGGGAGGACGCACGTGCACAAGTGGGGACGTGGGCGGCAGCATGCATGTCGGAATGAGAGTGAGAAAGAAAGAGAGAGAGAGAAAAAAACAAAAAGGATTCATTAGCGGGCAGTGGCCTCCCCCCCTGCTCGCGAGCAAAAATATGGAATCTCATGTTGTGTTGACTATTTCTCCCCTCTCTTGTTCTCCCTACAGAACGCCACAGTCAGCGATCTTCACCGGCTTCCTCGGCCTGTCGTTGCTGCCTGTCGGCGTTCCCTCCACCTTCTTCACAACGCTCATGCCCTCCAGCACCTTGCCGAAGACGACGTGGCGACCGTCGAGCCACGGCGTGGCCGCTGTTGTGATGAAGAACTGCGAGCCGTTCGTGTTGGGCCCCGCGTTCGCCATCGAGAGGGCCCCGACGAAGTGCTTGACGTTGAAGTTCTCGTCCTTGAAGCGGGCGCCGTAGATGGACTTGCCGCCTGTCCCGTCGAAGTTCATGAAGTCGCCGCCCTGAATCATGAAGTTGTGAATCACACGGTGGAAGATGGAGTCCTTGTAGCCGAAGCCGTTCTCACCAGTGGCGAGCTGCTTGAAGTTCTGCACCGTCTTGGGNATCACACGGTGGAAGATGGAGTCCTTGTAGCCGAAGCCGTTCTCACCAGTGGCGAGCTGCTTGAAGTTCTGCACCGTCTTGGGCACCTCCTTGCCGAAGAGGCCGATCACGATGCGGCCCGCCGGCTCGTCGCCAATGGTGATGTCGAAGTACACCTTGTCCGTCACCTCCGGCTCCGCCCGCGCGCCGCCGGCCGAGGCGAGGAGCAGCACCACCAGCACGGTCACCGACGCAAAAAGGAGGCGCATCCAGAAGCGCAGTATAATGGCGATTTGTTTGTTTTCCTTGCTTTTTTTTTTTGCTCTTCTCCTGGGAGAGGGTTGTGCGTGGGGAAGAGGCACGAGTAGAGGAGAGAGGCCCGAGCCGTTCAAAAGGACAGTCGTGGTGCTGTCAGAAGTGCCACTCGCACCACCACAACCATCGCCATCGCCACCAAAGTGCAGCAGCAACAACAGAAAGAGTCACATGGAAGGTTCAAAGACATCGCTTCCGTTGCGCATTCATCGCTCCCGCGGGACGACGACTGGCAGAAGCTGACAGCAAAGATACATACGTAAGCAGCAGCAGCAGCAGAGAGTGGGTCGCGATCACCTGTTGCGCGCCTTGGTGGAGGACTCACGCTGCAGTCGGTCCCGCACCGCCATGAGAATAACGCCGAGGAGGTTTCGACCCGTCCCGTCACCGCGGTCGCCCCAGAAGTCGTCCGCCGGTGTGTGGTCAACGATGAGTTTGTCGCCCGTATCCAGCAGCATGTTTCGCACGCCATCATTCTGTTTAAACTTCATGTAGTTGCCGAGAAGCATGACGTCCACCTTCACTCGGTTCCAGTCCTCACGCTGGCAGCCGATGCGCTCCGCCTCCTTGACGAGGCGGTCCAACTCCCACACCGATGACGCCGACTGCAGCGCCTCCTCCAGCGGGCTGCCGCGGAATCGCTCGGTGAGGAAGTAGTGGTGCAGCGACGGGTACTGCTTGTGGCGCACGACTATCGGGTGCGGTGACAGTGGGCTAAAGGCGCCATATGGTGTGTCGTGCACATCGTGGAACCGCACAACACTTTTACTCATCCCCCCCGTGGGCTTTGCGTTAGCTTTTGCGTGGTGCTTGTTGGTTAAGTGTTGTTCTTGTTGCTCCGATTACTTCTTTTGTTTTGCTTGTGCTGCTAGGCGCACCCCACAGCGCACCCACCACCGCACGTCGGTCTTCTTCCTATTTTTTTTTTCCACTACACTTGTGCCCGTGACCGCCCTCGCTGGCTGCGTGCATAGAGACAGCCACAGAGAGACCGAGAGAGGCAGAGAGGAACAGGTGCCGTAGCCTCAGCAAGAGCAGCAGGAAGAAGGCTGCAGGGCCAGTGAAGCCACTCAAGCAGCAGCAGCAGCAGCAGAGGGGGAGGGTCACTGTCTCGCGCACATTTCACATCACAGCGGCATGGCTCCTTCCATTTCTTTTGCTTATTTCCCTACAATATATAAAAACGTGTTGTGCTTCTCGAGCAATCCATCTTCCATCCACGCGCCCTCAGTCCTTGCGAAGCTCAAACATCTCGGTGCGTACGCCCTCCGCCGTGATGATGTGGAAGCACACAGCGTCGCCGGTGAAGATGTCGCGCTCCGCCGCGCCGGTGAAGGCGTTCTTGAGCATCTCGAGCACCTCTGTCATGCTGAGCTCCGCCGGCGCCTGTCCAACCATGTGCTGCCGCACTAGCAGGCAGTCCATGAGCGGCTCCACGAAGCTGCTGGCGGAGCCGCTCGTGCCGTAGCGGAACGGCTCCGTCGAGCCGACAGGGTCGTAGCTGTAGCACACACCCGCCCCCTTCTCGTCGAGACCAACAATCATGTTAAAGGTGTAGTACGGGAACATGCGTCGCTGGTAGAGCATGGTGGAGGTGAGCTTTGCGATGGCCTTCGTGGAGGGCAACTTGCCGCCATTGTTGTACTGGTACCACTGAATGCGGTACTTGAGCATCTGCTGCAGCTGAAGACGATCCGCCTGCATGCCTGTCGACGCAAGGAACGTGTGGTCAGTCAGCTGAAAGACCTTCGAGTGGTCATTGCGTGTGTGGATGCTGAAGTTGCCGTTTAGACGCGTGTCGCCGCCGAGGATGACGTAATTACTGCCGGCGATAGCCGCGATTGTGCCGCCGTTGTCGGCGTACGGGGACCAGTGGTGCTGCTTCGCCCCCTGCTGCGGCAGCGTCAGCACCGAGCTGGCGAGTTTCTTTGGGTAGTAGTGCCCGTACTCAGCGTGGTCCTCGATCATATTTCTTTTCTTTGTGTCTTCGACGGATTGTGGTGGCTTAGTTCAGTTCTATCTCGCTCCCTCTGCGCACCACAAATGGGTGGGGGGTTAAAGGGGGCAAGCAGGCGAGGGAAGGTAGCGTGCACACACACACACAGAGAGAGAGAGAGACATACATGCACGCATCCACAACGAAGACGACGAAGGGAAGGAAGGAAGGAGCCAACCCAATGCGTTGCTCTTTTCATTCTCACACGCACTATCACTATCACACTCTCTCGCTCTCGCACCTTGCTACCCGCCCAGATCCGCATCCCATTGCCGCAGCAGCAATGAGCGAGCAGCGACACAGTCAGTTACGCGTTGCCGCCACGGCGCTGCACCTCCTGTATCTCGTGTTCCTTGTTGGCGACACGCTGCCGATAGTGCTCCCTCGCAGCCTCGCAGGCGGGGCACGTGTCGCCGCGCGCCAAAATGCGCAGCATCTGCTGGTAGACCTCGAACAGCAGCAGCACGCCAAAGGTGCTGGCGGTGAGGGCCCACATGCTGTAGTTCTGCGACCCCTCGCTGAAGCCGAAGTCGCGCGTGTTGAACACCTCCCACGGCCGCTCGCGTGGGCGGCGCGCCTTTGGGAGCCGCACCCGCAGCAGTGCTGTCGGCCGCATCACCACCGCCCGGCGCACACACACACACACACACCCGCTCACAGACACACTGGAGAGCAACAAAGGGGGAGAATGAGAGAGAGAGAGAGGAGAGAGCAGAGAATGCATGGAAAAAAGAAACAAGGAAGGAACGCCGCGAAACGGGGTGGGAAAAAAAAAACGGCACACACACACACTCACACTGTTGCGGCCAGCAACAACTGCGGTAGCAGCGGCGCTTGTCGCACGCGCGTCACGACTGGTTGTGGGACGGCAGCGCGTCAACGAAGAAACGGCGGTACGCCTCGTCCGCCACCAGCCGCTCGCAGGCGCTTCGGACGGCGCCGTTCGTGTCGCGCCGCTCGAAGACCATCAGCGTGCGCTCCTCGAACGCGCACGGGGTGAAGAGCGGGCTGTAGCGCGCGCCGGGCGACATGCGCGTGAGCGGCTGCGA